TCGTCCTTTTATCGGACTGTTATGCGCCGTGAACTTCTCCCTCTCTGCCGTCAAAATCGCCACAGAAATCTTGTTTTTATGCAAGACAACGCCCCAATCCATGTCAGCAGGAGCACCAAAGCTTGGTTCTCTCGGCATCGGATTCCACTTCTGCCCTGGCCGGCGAAAAGCCCCGATATGTATGGGGCTTCATGGTGCGGAGAATTTACGCCCAAAACAAGCGTTCGCAGGCGTCGAGGAGTTGAAAAAAGCGATAATCGAAGCATGGCACCAAGTTGATCAGGAGTTGATTGATAGCCTTTATTTGAGCTTAGACCACCGTATTGTTCAAGTAATTTGGAGGAATGGTGGACCAACTGATTATTGACTTTGCAAATTTCTCTCCTTGTTGTATGTTTGTTGTTAAATAAATTAATTTTGTTAGTGGCTGTATCATTTTGCGACGTTGGAAAAGCACCCTTCATTGAAAAAATGACCAAAAAAATTTTTGTGTTTTCGAGTTGGAATTTGGTGATAATGTGCGAATTGCAACTCAAACTCGACACATTTTTTGCTTTTGCAGATTTTCAGGAACATCATATACTGTGAGTTTTTGAGAAAATTAGAGGGCTGTATCATTTTGCGACGCACTGTATATGTATCGAACCTGTAGTCTTGATCGAACGTTTCGCAGAATACGTCCTCCACGAAGAGGTTCAACACTGAGCGTGCCTTCGGCTAGTGGGCGAAGTACAGAATGAGGTTGAACGGCTAGTCTACACAGCAAGTTCCCGTAGAGAGGCGGACCAGACAGATCGGCTGAAAGTACCTTATTTCGAAAACTTCTCTCATCTTGATTATCATTCAAGTTCCGTACATATTCATTCCTTATTCGGCTACCATTAAGTACTTCACTGTGATAGCATTCTGAATTATGTTCTGGAGTAAGATTCTTTCAGGCTGGTTTTAGAGCTCAGCACACGGAGCGAGTCAGGAATATGGGGCAGAAGTCCTTCAATGTGCTTCTGCTTGTGTTTCAATGTGCACACGACAACAACTATCGGAGAACAGAACAGCCGCGAAGCAGGAAAATTCTGTTACGCTGTTGCCCAATTTCCCATAGAGTTAGGGATAATTAGACAGATTATTGAGGAATCAGCCACTGCTCATCGCTCGTATTCCAATATCAAGATGATACAGAAAGAGCAGAAAAGAGCAAGAGGCTCTGCCCTTTTTTAGCAGCCTACGAATCTCTTCCCTTATACAAAGTATGGCCGCAGTCAATAACGATCGAAAGTGGCTTGGCTTTCTTTCTCCCAGACTGCCCTTTTGTTAAATTATTTCTCATACTCATGCTTTACTTCTAGATAAACGCACTCCCAATATCATTCAAATTACTAGACTAGACTGATGTAAAGTGTATTGTAATATGTAGATGCAGATACACTGGGTACAAACTGAAACACTTAGCCATTTGAAGTGGAATTTCTTCAGTAGCTTTGCTTTCTTACTGTTGTTATTCTCTTGAAGCAATAACCTTGGTTTGTTGCATATCGGCAGCATAATGATTATGGACTTTTCACACCTAATTAAGATCGCTTCGCGCCGAAATGCGAAGTGAACTCAATCGTGTATAAGTTCCTACACCCCACCTGAAGATGACAGCCTAAACTTCTTACACATTTTTATTTGGTTGCCATGATCAATTTTGTCGTCGTGTCACTCATTGATAACAACCCTACATACGCTACCATAAAAATAGAACATCAGCGCACACATCCGCACACCACAAAAATAATCTAATAAATTCAAACTGTTCCTCAGTAGAGGGAATTTCAGGGGTTTTCCTGGACTTTTGAAATTATAGAACAAAGTAACCGCTTGCAGTTCGACCGAAGAAAATTTAGGAGAAAAGGTATAGAACTATAGAATCTCAATTCTGAACGGGTACTTACCGAAAGCCGACATTTTGAGATCATGAATCTTGCACTCATCACCAGCATCGGTGAGGACGAGATATGCACGTGCGAGCATATTGAAGTGAGTACCACCGATAGTAGGTTCACCCGGTATATTCGGCGAATCCATTGCACTCAAACTTGACTTCTAGAATGAAGACTTCAGAACAGATAGCTTGGAATTTGATTGATTCTGATAGCGTGCTAAAAAGGGATAATTGCATAACTTCTGCGAGCACTTGAAAAGATGAGCGAAAAGAGTAGCGTAATATTTTCTTCCATTGAGACACCATATTTTTGCGCTGACAAGGGAGGGATACTTAGTCACACTGACCACTCAAGATGAGATGTATACCACCGAACGCTAATCTCAAATCTGTGTTCCAAATCGGCTAAACAGTTCTGGGAACAAAGTTACCGAACGAATGCCTCTCTGTGTTATACTACTGTATCGAACTGTTCAGCGAGCCGAGCAAAGCCCTAGATCTGCAACGGTGGCTCAGCTGGTAAGACGGTTGACTGGTAGGCACGAAATTAAGGTTCGAGTCCTTGGGGCATGTGCACGTCTTGCTTTGCCATGAAATGCGTACAAATCAATAGCCAAACTTTTTTGGGCCAAATTTGTGCATCTACAGAGCTCCTTCGCAGTTTAGGATTCAGGGGAATAGTAATCCATTGAAAATTTTTTTATCACTACTGACAGAATATTCACAGCTCTCTAACCCGAACAGAACAGAACAGAACGGTCGAGATAGTGTTTCGAAATTCTCGGCAGCTCCCTGCATTTCCGACAGAAGGCCCTCGAATGACTCATCCCACCACACCCTCTGGGATGGACGTGGTCCACATATTCTAGCTATACTGTCCGCATTTTCGAAGCGTTGACACAAGTTAGTTGATTTGTTGAGGAAATACTGTGGAACAGTAGCACTTATATCTACTTGTGTGCACATATGCTTCGCTAATTTATTTACTTATTTATTTAAATTGCACTCTTGGTGCGCCCAAACAAACCAGAAAAGTGTTGGTGAAACATGAAGCTAATTCTTGAGGTAAACGCCCTTTCAAAGCCTTTTCATGGAGTAAACGTGATAAAGTGGTGGCACATGATATCACCGCTGTACTCAAAACCCTGAACCCTCCTACGACTAGCTTTGAAGTTGGCCTCTTTGGGCGTTCACTGTTGATTTGAAGCGGCATTCAGTGGAAATGACTGCCGTGCAATGGCATTAGTACAATAATTTTATGATAACATATCCTTCTAACTTATACGATAGTTTCCATAGGTCGACAGATAGGTCCGCCTGTTTGTACCTGATTGCACCAGATGGTTACCACCATATAAGACATCGTAAGTTGTCGTTAACCCTTTGACGACCATGGCGCCCGCCGGCGAGTGCCACTATGACCGGCACATGGGACCATGGCACCCAATGTTGGGTGCCACCATGTTTTTTTCTTTATTTGCACATTTGANATTATTGTTTTATTAAAGCTTATTTATTACAAACGTATATATACAATGGGGTATAACTGAAGAAAAACCCTAGGTATTTCCGCAAGATTTTTGTTCACCTTGGAAACATTACAGACAGTAAAAGACGTAACAACTGTTGCACTGTGTTTTCACTTTCTTAGCAGGCGCCCTAGCGAAGTATAATTTGATACTAAAGAATTTTAATGTAATACGCATTTTTCTGTAAACATTATTTCCAGAATTTGTCCCACATTGCTTCCAAACTCCATTTTCAATTGTTACTTAATTATAATGGATGAAATAATATTTTGATACTTCCATTTCAAGCGATATAATGCTAACCTTATTGAGTCAGAGAAAGGAGTTACCCCTGGGACCATGGCACCCACCAGTGGGTGCCAGTCGCGCAGGAAAGGGAAGGGGCGTGGTCCCATGGGCGCGTCACGCCGAAATCGGCATTGTCGTCAAAGGGTTAATAGGATAGTTCGAGAGCTCACGGCCTCGCGAACTTTCCCATAACTTCCATTCGGCACTCTTCCGTCATAGCACAAAAGTGTTTCTCACGTGCGAGAAATTCGGCTTCTTTTGGCACTTGAACTATAGAAGGCCATGTTTTTTACCAGCACCATGAAATTAGAGCTCATGGACCGATCACATGTTGAAGCTACGTTTCACTTTGCAACTTCTATATTCCCACAAATGTGCGAGGTTTTTCTCGCGAAGTTGTGGGCCCATCGTCGCCGCTATCATCAGGCGACCGCGGAGGATCATTGTAATCGTCTTTCACGGACTCGACTTAATCGCAGTGGATACCATCGAAATGTATGATTGAAAAGCTCTTGATTTTCCCCCGTTCCTTACTAGATGATGCTCACCTTGTGCTGCAAGAATGAAAGTCCTCCATCAAATTCGATGACACTGCCTCCCGTCAGAGTATTTGTTGGTAAGATATTGAAGAGCGTTTGATACGATTATTTGTTTGGGACTTCATTCCCTGGAGCGAAGCCCATTTTGAGCAAATGTTTAGCATTCCCCTTTTGTTCGAATGTAGCTACACGCTTATCCGGCCGGTGAGGGGCAGGAAAAAACGTCTATTGGAATACCTTTACAGTGTTCCTAAATTATGAGGGAGACCTGTAGATGCCCAAATCGAGCCCAAAAGTGTTTTACAAGGGCTTAGAACGCATTTCATTCAAAACAAAACGAGCAGGTACATCAAGAAATTTTGATGTCATGCCTACAAGTCAACTGTCCTAAAAGCTGCGCCACCGTTGGAGATCTGAGGCTTTGCTCGGCTCGGTGAAATGCTCGGCACAGTGGTATAACATAGGGAGGCATTCGTCCCGTAACTTTGTTCCCACAATCGTTTTGTAGGTTTGGAACACAGTTTTGAGATCAGCGTTCGAAGCCACCTTCGGCGGTACACACATCATCTTGAACCGCCACACCGACCAAGTATTCTTCCCTTGCAAGCTATTTCACAGAACTTGCGGAACTTTCTTTAGATGCCAACATTCATTCTTGGCTCAACTATGATTATGTAAGGCCGTTAGAGTCTCTTCTGTGGGCTATATAAAAGAATGAATGGTATCCATAACGAGGAGCTTAGAGTAGGGAATTTGCAAACTAAAGCCTCCCCCCTAGATGCCATCCATTTATTTTTGAACTTTTCCAGGTCAACCACTACGTTTAACATTCTCAAGCATGATACTCAGCTGGAAACGTGAAAAAGAGATGTTCTAGTAGTGATGAAGTAATGCCCGTAAGTGGCAGGTGGCAGTGGATGTGCGAATTATCGTGAGGTCGATTTCAAGCACTTGGATTTCCCATACATATGCTCTTTCGTGCTCTCCCGTGAGACTTCTAATGGATATAGAGTTTCAACGATTGGCCTTCGAGATGCATTGCGAAAGACTACCGACGACGGCATGGCTGCATTACAAACAAAGGAGGCAGAAGTTCTAGAATTATTACGTTGTGAACCCATTCAATATTTCATGGGAAGAAAATATTTTCGTTTCATTCCCCTTGTAAATACCTGAAAATTCAAGCACTTATCTTTAGAAACACGACAAATTGAGCCAGAAATTCCGAAACTAAACTAAATAACAAAGGACTGATATATTTGGGGAATGGTAATTTGCAGCTCCTCCCAATAGGCATCAAGGCTGACCATATATGAAAAATTGTCTCGCGCTTTAGGTTCAGACTTGCCTATGTTGCTTGATTATGGCTTCTGTTGTTTCGCTGAATATGCATAATGATCGCTAATAGGCTTTCACTACAAATTTTCCGTAACACATATGACTTTGAAGACGAAGTTTTCGTGAATTGACCAACAGAAAATTCACCCATCATTACCCTGACAATCCCAATGCGCAAATCACTAGTTGACCAACCACTTGTCCACCAAATCGTCTTCCTAACGACCGAGTGATTCTCGTTCGTAAGCCTCCTCCTCCGTGGTATAGACCTAGGTCCGTTCTGGCTGCATATAGTGTGATCTCTATGCAGAAATCGTCTGGTTCGCCTTCACTGAACTGCATTCGATTCACATTCTCAACGATTCATTGAACTAGTAGCCTCGGCGGAGGCAAAACGATGACTACTCACAATATGAACGACTCAGGGAACACGACATCAGTCATCGTTCGATCGACGTTTGTCACCGTTCTCGAATCGACCGTTCGAGATTTTGTTTGTAGAACGACGAACATTGAATAGACACAAGTTTCTGAAATACAGTGGATTCAAATATCTGACAGTAAAGAAGCTTTGCTTTGAAGAAGGTGAAGGCACTGTTCACCGTTGAACTGTGAACAGTGCCTTCACCCAGTGTGTTGTTGATGGCATCAACCACTTCACGTGCGCTTTTCCTTTGACGCCAATCGTAGAAGATAATGGTGCGAAATGGTGCTGGGAGATAATTTTCGATGTAGTTCCGAAGGCTTTTGTGCAATTCCCTATATGTTCATGTATTGACTGCTCTTAGTGCATTCAAACAGATCGTCACCATGGCCAACGCGTTCGAGCAGATTTCGCATGATTGCCGAATTTCGAAATGAACGCAACAAAGTCTACATGCCCGTCCGTGGCAATTTGCTTTGCTAATTTGCTAGCTATGCAAGGATTCGCTGCGACACCTCTATTGGTACGATACCACGCCGTGGTGGCCGTGTGGCCCAGCCCCAATCCGAAACGCACGGTTTTGAGTGATGGCTTGATTAGGGCAAGTGTGAAAGAGGTTGAAGCCGTTGACGGTATCGATAAAAAACAAAAATGGGATATATTTGCTCAGGCGTATCACGTTACCAACTTTGTAGGCAAACTTCGTAATCACGATTAGGGTTGGTAAGGTATCAAACTTGTCATAAACTGAAACTTGTTGACGAAAGGTTATCTCTATCTCTATCTCGTCAATAGTCCGAATGGGTAAATTAACTGGGATGGAACAGCGATTGGCTCCAGTCGAAATGGAAGGCTCTTGCACCTTTTCCGATTATTGGGATATGATCAAGTTTGTGTCTAGCCGAAACTGCCTGAACTTTTTTACTGATGGAATGGGCTTGTTAATGGATTTGGGATTCTTTTCGATTTTTTTACGTCATGATAGTTTCCATCATTTCGAAACCAATCGCGTTCTCGCCTTAGTACGTTGCACAAATCGCACAATAAGAGCACAGTGATGAGTTGTATTGAAAGTGGACCTCTTAAAATGATCAAGCTCTATCTGTCAGCTGCAGCTTTTCTCTTGGTAGCTACTATGGATATCCTACTATGAAGTCACATATGCGCACAAAATATGTGGCGTGCACTTACCCTAAGGATTCTCAAAAGCCGCGCTTTATATTAGAGCAAATAACAGACAATGCAAGAAACCCTGCTCTCACAGCGAGCATCTCAGTAAGCATTGTGTGCGGGTAATTGGTAAGGGGCTAAAGAGCACTCATAGAACCACTTGGGACTGTCGCACGCTTTGAAGGCTTCTCAAACAAGTTGCCCGCACTTCTTCGGTCAAGGTAATTGCCAGCCCCTCTACTTTACCATTACCATAATTGAACCAAACTCCCACTTCGCAACCCAGCCACATGCCCGCCGAAATTACGGTCAAGCCGTGGTGTCCCAATAATCGGAAAAGGTGTAAGGGCCTCAAATTTCGACTGAAACCAATTGTTGTTCCATCCCAGTCAATTTAATCATTCGGGCTATTGACGAGATAACCTTTCCGTCAACAAGTTCAGTTTATGGCAAGTTTGATACCTTATCAACCTTAATCGTAATTACGAAGATTGCCTACAAAGTTGGTAACGTGATACGCCTAAGCAAATGTACCTCATTTTTATTTTTTATCGATACCGTCAACGGCTTCAACCTCTTTCACCCTTGCCTTAATCAAGCCATCACTCAAAACCGTGCGCTTCGGATTAGGGCTGGGCCACGGCCGTGGTATCGTACCAATAGAGGTCCCGCAGCGAATCCTTCCATAGCTGGCAAATTGCCACGGACGGGCATGTAGATTTTGTTGCGTTCTTTCGAAACTTCGCGCAGGAATTTCTTTCCAACCAATACATCCAGTAGTACCTTCCAAAAATGAATAAAATCAAGTTGGTGATGGTTAGTGCTGTGATATAAATGTTTTGCAAACGTCTTTACTCGCAAGAGGTCGACGAACTCCCCGATTTTCTAACGTTTGTTCGAATTGGATGTAATAAGAGACAGATTAGTTATTAGATTTTCTCTGAAGGTAGTTAAAAGGCCGTTGTCGTAGGGCGCGGAGGAAATTCGTAAAGCAAAAAAATAAAAGGATCAAACTCGGTGAACGTTATTAAAAAAGAGGGACTATTAATTCTCACTGTATACAACCCATAAGTTTGATGTGTCTCTTTGTTTGTTTGTCTGTCTGACTGACTGACTGTCTATCCGTCCGTTTGTCTGTCTGTCTGTCCGTTTTCTGTCTGCTTGCGTGTCTTTGTCGCGAAATTCGATACTACCCGAAAAGAACGCCAAAAGGTTAGGTTAAGTCAGGGATGGGTGGGGCTTGTGGCAGGACCAAAGGAGCACGTATGGGCTCAACGGAAACCTCCGAACAAAGGCATGCTCCGGATTGAGTAGTGGCTCAAAGAGGAGCATTGGGGCTTCAGAAAAGCTCAGCCACCGGAAAAAGTGAGCGAGGGTTAGAAGCGGGTCGAAAAGTCAGAGTAAGGAGACCCATTCGCGCTGGGCGGAGCATCCTCAAAGTGAACGGTAATCCTCTACAGATTCATAACTTTGTAATAGTGAGCAAGTTCGAGGTGTGCTATGCAGCAGAAACTCATACAAGGTCCACCCTGCCTCAGATGGGCGGAGCATACTCTATATTGAAAAGACATCCATATTCACAGAGTGGGCATTAAATATGGTAACAACTCCGGTTTCTGCGGTTTCCTTGTTTGGAGGGTTTTCTGAAATTTGCACGTTATCTCATGTTTCTGACATACCTTAGCTCACGTACCTGCTTTAGCGATCTCAATTCGTCACTTTCCAATATAAGGTGAAGCCTCGCAACCATCCAGCAGCCGTTGCGTCTTTGCGCGCATTTGGTGATTCCTTTTCCGGTGTCGCTCGTCATTTCGACACTACTTGCATGACAGTTTCTTGTATCGCGATGCATGGACAGGCCAAGGATAAACGCCTTTTCCAGATACATTTGCTCGGGAATGATTACGCAGCTTGACCTGCGGAAACACCAAAAAAATGACGACCTATGCGATTGATGAGGAAAGTCTTCCAGAGTTACAACTGTATCCTGATAGGTTACGGAAGCCTCATGAGCTTCTTGACGAGAAGAAGCTCGCGAGGCTTCCGTAACCGCAGCACGCACGCATGCGCCTCGACACACTTTTCTAACAAGAGGGTGCTCAACGCGGAAAAAACGTTCAGATCGCATAGTACACGCATGTTTCATATGAGTGCTGAAGCCACATAGTAGACACCGCCTCACGTAGCTGTTAAGTTGTTCTGAAAAAAATGCGCGTCGAATTTGTCCGTTTATTTCTCTCCTAAAGTAAAGGATTTTTCAAAACAGTTCTGTCTATTACAGATTTTTGTTGTGCACCTTTTGATGTAAATATTGGGGGGTTTCAAAGAGTTCTGTCCTTTTTCAAAGTCTAAATTTCAATGTGCTTATCTCGGTTCAAACAAAATTTTATCAATCGAAATAAGAATCGTTATCATCTACCTACTTCTCCCAACGAGGAACAAGTTTGCCTATCCCGATTGCGTAGAACTCTGGAGATCTAGAAGCGATGAATCCGGGGAAGGTCGATTTGACATCGTGTCGATTGTGGAAGCGTTGCTCTCAAAGAAAGTTGTCGAGATGCCAAAAAAGTGGAAGTAGTTTGGAGCGAGGTCAGATGAGTACGGTGGATATGGCAGTTTCATACCCAAGCTCGTTCAATTTCTTCAGAGTGGTCTGTGCAACATGGGGTCGCGCGTTGTCGTGGAGAAGGATCGGCTGCCTGTTCACCAATCCAGGGATCATGAGCTGCAGCGTCTGGTGCATTTCCTCGATATACATATGTTGATATCTCGAGCCGTGTCGGCTGCATTCCTGCTTGGTTTGAATTGGAAAAGGAGGATGGTGCGAACTTGTCGTTTGTCCATGTTGTTTCCAAGCTTCTGCAAAGCTAGGAAGTCACCATGAGGCGAAGCTGATACAATATTCAGGGAAGGCAAGAAATCGCTTTCGAATGGTCTACCATACTACAGTAGAGCAACGAAAAATAACCTAGAAAAGAGCGTATAAATGTAGACCATCCAAAAACGACAGAACCTTCTGAAACGCCCAATATTTCTTCCATGTCTATTACCAGTCGAGCCGCCCGTCTAACGCCGGGCTTCCCTCCTTCTTATGGATTCGCCCGGCTACGCCG